AATTTATGTAAAATAAACCGACTTGACATCAATACAGTGTATGTAAATCATAAATCTAGTTCACGTTAAGATTGTTCAGGTAGGGAGGTGACAACTGATTCGTTGAGCATTTTAACTGTTATTTACGTGAGAGGTAGGGAGGCTGCACCCGAAATCTAGTCTGTCCCAACCCGTCTGAACAATTAAAAATGATGGTCGAATAGTAAATTCAGACTAATATAACATACTAGCAATGCCTACAGTTGTATGTGTTAATTGGTGATTGCACTCGTTTAATAAGGTTTACCCGAAGATTTCCGAACACACCCACATTTACCTGCTTCGTGTGTTTTCGTATTGTTATTCTATTGCCGAACGCACAACGCATACTTTCAGATCAAGCCGGAAATGAAATCTATCTACGATATATATGAACACATAATGAGCAAATTATAGTAAAATTATTAACTATTTTCACTTTTTCCTAGTATTTGTCGAACTTTTTCTATAAAGGTCAAATAGAGGTGTTGGCGTCGACAGTGTTCTTTTGTTCGGACGCCTCATAGTTTTATGGACAATGAAAACTTGATATGCTCAGGCAACTATGCTATTATAGTCATTAAATATTCAGTAGGAAGCTGATATTTTAAATATCTCTATTCTCGTTTTTTTTGTATAAATACAGAAACATGGAGAATAAACATAGGAATAACAACGATGCACAATCTCCGTGATCTGTGGTAAGAACTTATGTAAAATAAAACGTTTTGACGACTTTGCATCAATACAGTGTATGTAAATTATAGATCTAGTCCATGTTAAGCTTGCTAAGGTAAGGAAGTGACAACTGATTCGTAGAGCATTTTAACTGTTGTTTACGTGAGAGGTAGGGAGGCTGCACCCGAAATCTAGTCTGTCCCAACCCGTCTGAACAATTAAAAATGTACCTTGACCCTAATGTTGTATTACAGATTTACGGCATTTGGTCATTGTTGGTAGATTACGGTCCTGATGGTCGAATAGTAAATAAGGATAATCTATGGGGGACCAGGTCTTGCACAAGATACTAGTAATCTACGTTTCTGTCCTGAAACTGAGTAAACTGGATTGCGTAATTAACTGTTTCGAGATTACAGACATTCACTTTGTGATTAAAGCAATACATATATATTCTGTATTTGACAAGTTGTTGAATTTATTTTTTACTTAATTAAGTAAGTAACATCAATTCGAATGGTGAAAATAGATAAAAATGCATAAAAACAAAAGACAATGCAGAAGTTGAACAATGTAAAAAACAACACAGATAACAATAAAATTCCAAATTTAAGACCGTAAATCTCACAATTTATAAGAATATGGATGATGTCCATGCACATGTATGAATTGCTTACGATAAAAATGACTTGGTCATACCATTAACTTAAAAAAATTGGATTTTATCTTTTATTTCCATCTTTCTTATAGCCATTTCTTTCTATTCAGTGACCATAAACCTAATCTAACATTCACTCGTCACCAACACATAAGTAACATGCATGTATCAATATAGCAATAAACAACCCCTGGAGTTTACTTATGTTAGTTTTGAGTAGATAAAAGCTATTAATTTGCAAAATTTACAATTACATAATACATAGGAGCACATTCCATTCAGCTATGGTTGTATTTATTTTGATCTTAGTTTTTCATACTTAGTTTCAAAAAGACAAAATTACATCACCTGATTTAACTGTGTTCTGTATTTCCATTTCACAGTGTATGGTTGCAGAAGTTGTCTGCGCCCTCTTTATATCATTGGAAATCAATTAAAAGTTGCTTGAAAACAAATTATTTCACTCTACAAATACTTTGATGCACCGAATGCTATCATCCACTACAGCTATTCTACAATCATTAGAAACTGCTACACCCCATGGATTGTTCAGTCCGTCCTTGTCTCTATCAATCCTACACAAATACTGACCATGGATGTCATGCTTAGTGACTTCATGAATACTACTTATATATACATAATCATTCTTATCTATTGCCACTGCCTTGGGACAACTCATTGTACTGTCACCAGATGTAGTGAATTCAAACATAAACTGGTCATCAGAATTGAATACCTGGATACGGTCGTTGAGCAAATCTGGCACATACACCAACCCTTTACTGTTAATAGCTAGCATACAAGGTCCACTGAACTTGCCCTGCATTTCCCCTATTCCTCCAAACGAATTTATATACACGCCACCCTGGGTATACTTTCTAATACAATCTTCACGATACTCACTTACATACACGTTCTTATTAACAGGATTAATTGCAATTCCGCGTGGAGTATTAATTTCAGATCTACCAAACTTTCTAATAAACCCTCCATACTCATCACACACAACTACTTGCTTGTTACTATCATCCAACATATAGTATTCATTATCATCTGATATTGCTACATCACATGGACTGAATGGCTTTGCAAACTGATCAGTAAATCTTAATGATTGTTTATAATTTCCGTCTCTGTCATGAATGGTTACTCTGTTGTTTCTTCCGTCAGTTGTGACAAAGTCACCATGTTTATTTATGGCTAGGCCCCGTGGATAACTGCTCTGTTCGTCTTTTCTCACTGTCTTTACCGATTTCATGACAGGAATATGGAATGGCGATCCGGGAATATGTTCGTTCCCGATCGCAATGGCAATTTGATGTGTTTCTACCATATTTCCTACTATCGTCACATGAAAAGTCCCATCATTATTGTCTGTTACATCAATGTCTTCCCATGATGCTCCAGGATTTATTGACTTCACTGTGACATCTTGACGGGGAATGACTTGTTTTCCTTTGGAATCTCTGGTTGTGATGATCAGCTTGACGGGTAAACCTTTCAGGATTTTTTTCGGAATGTTTTTAACTGTGCATTTGGATGGACAGACGTCTGATTTGTTCACCCCCATCAATGCGTGTGCAGCAAGGTCACTTCCTGGATGGAACTCAGCGATATCATTACTGATTGGTGGTTTGGTTTCCATAGTAATCATCTTTTGTATGTGCTTCATAGTTTCAGTTCTTGTAGATAGTAGATGAACAGAATTCCCATGATGCA